AATTAATTCAATATTAATTCTTCCTTTGTTGCAACATGTAATAATGAGAAATTCTATCATAAGACTGAAAATAAGTAATAAATTTTAGTTTTTAATTAAAATAATATATGTTAAAATATATTTAGTAACATTCAAAATGTGATTAGTGGAGCTCTTCAAAATTTATTTTACTCATGAACTAGGACTCTGCATATTAAGTAAGCCTGCTTGACTAAGTTTACTTGAAACAACTGATAATCTCTTACATCTGATAAGTTGTTTTAAGAGCTGATAAATTTTACATATTATTTTTAGAATTATTTTTAAAGTGTTTAGATAATGAGCTTATAAGCTGTTTTTACTCGTTATAAGATTAAAATGTGAAGTAAAAGTACTTTTTAAAAAAATCTTAAAAGTTCTTCAACTACAACTTTTTTTTTGAACTTTTAAGATTTAAAAAAAAAAGAAATACCAAACTTTCTGGAAGAGCTAAGCTCTTAGATATCATATAACCTCTTTTTAACAGTTTATAAGTTTAGCCAAACATTCTCGATTCGAACATACTTAGTAAGTAGTGAAAAAATAAATTGAGTCAAAGTGGAATGTCTTTAATTAGGTAAATTCATAATTGTTCTTGGGATTTTGTACATTTCTTTTGGAAAAAGAAAAGAAAAAGAAAAAAAAAGACATGATCTTGTGTTTGAATAGAGTTGTCCCTTCATCTTCTTTATACTTTTATTTTAATAATAATTGTTGTTTGGTAAAGTTGTAATTATAGTTTTTTGTTTACAATCTCATTAACCCTTAATTAAAGGGGAAGAAAATTGTTGAAGACTTGAGATTAATTCATCTTAAAGTGGTTTATGAAATGTGTTTTAAATTAAGATTGGATGCTAAAGAAAAAAATAAAGTTTTACATTTGGAAAATTAACTTCATGATATGGTTATATGTAAATTAATTCCACATGTATTTATATTATTTTTTATGAGACCAAAATTGGAGATACCTTATATATAATATATTATATATAAAAGAAAGAATTCCTTGACTTTGGATAATTACAATCATCTCCCAACTATAAATTTTCTTACGCGTTCACTCTTTTGGTGTTAAATTTAACAGAATCTTTTACATTCCATGGACTGTTCTCTAGTTTGTACTCGTTTTTTGTAAAAATGCAGTTTACGATGAATCACAATCTGATATTTACAAGTCAAAAGACACATCATATGATCATCTTGTTTCAAAATGTGGAACTCGAATGAGGTAAAACGGCTACAAACTAAAGAATATTTCACATAATCTAGAAGATTCCACTAACTTTTGACACCGTAAGAGTGAACGTGTAAGAAAATTCATAGTTAAAGGAGGTAGTTGTAATTACCCAAACATAATAATTTTTTTCATAATCTGACATTATTTCAAGAGTATGATAGTAATTTACCCAACTTATATTCATTAAAAATGCATGAATAAATAAATAAATAAATAAGAGAGTGAAATCATCAAGCAAAATCACACGTTACTACAAAAGAGTTCTCCTCGAGCACCTCACATTCCCTCAAACGGTCAGTAATGATTTTTTTATATATATAAATTGAATAAAATAAAATAAATAAATATAAAATTCCAATTAAAAAAGAAAAAAGAAGAGTTGTTTATGTGGCTAACCTAGTAGAGGCTCCAATTCAACCTATATTTTGTCTTGTTATTCGTTGTCTCCATTGTTTCATCAACACACTTGGCATTTATAATTTGATCAACATAATTTCTTGTTTATTTTTTTGGATATTGCCCATGAAAATAATTATTTATTTTAGTGTTTGCAAAACAAAATAGTGGCAATAAATTCCTCTGCACCAAACAGAGTAATACAAAGGCAAAAAAATAGACTTGATCTAAAGGCACATACTTCAAAGTGCAAAGAAAATGTGCACATTCATTTTCATTTTTAGGTGTGAGTCAGACCTATCAACTCGTTGGACTGGTCAAATTCATGTAAAAACCGTTCATTTAGGACCGAACAGGTAGATCCATCAATAAAATTGAGTCCTGAAATGAGAAAGATTCACGGGTTTGACTGTAAGACGGGTTCAAATTTTTTTTTACACTCGTGAAACCCTGTTCCTGCCCCAGACAAAACGACGTAGTTTTACTTATATTATTTAGTATAATAATATTTAATGAATAAATAAAATATCTCTTGTATATCAGATAAATAAATAAACTACACGATAATGACGTTGGTTTTGCCTGCTGCTTAAAATACCATAAATTTTTTTTTTTTTTTTTTTTTAAATTTTGTCTAATAAGCTTTAAAATCAAGAATCATCATTTGACGAGACGAGGGTGAGTTTTACTAGAACGAGCGAATTTATGATCCGCGCACACTTCTGCTCATTGTGGCTGACTTTTTGATACATATTCATAATGTTTCATAATATATTATTAACATTGTTAAGATATATTGGTACCATAATCAGGGGCGACTCAAGGCCACCATCAATTTACAATTTTCCTCCTATATTATATTATATATCTACTTAGCCCATCCAATTTTATTAATTAGCCATCCAAAATTTCAATTAATGTAAACCAAGTCTCATTTTTTATTAATTAGCCCACTCAAAATTTAAATTAATGCAAAAAAAAATTCTATATTTTATTAATTAGCCCACCCAAAATTCAAATTAATACAAAAAAACTCTAAAATTTGTTGTTTTTTTTTTTTTTTTTTTCCTATTTTCTGATTTTATGACAAAAAATTCCTAATTTTTTTTTGAAAGTGCTGCTCCAGAACTCCTGAAAATTTAAGCCAACCCTTACCAAATTTCTAGACTCGCTACTGACCATAATTATGGAATATGATTACTTAATTAGATAGTAATATATACGGGTACCATAATTGTTGAATTTGATTAGCGTGTAATTTAGGGATTTAATTTGTTTGTAATTAACTTTTCCTTATTTAACTTTATTCTTATATGTATATACACACACACACACATACCTATTCAAATATTCTACTATATTCATTGTTTATTAATTTAACAAACATAGACAAAAAGCTTAATACGCATGTGACAAAAGTGGGTTGTTACATGATTTTTATTTTACAGGGGTGTATGTATGTATATATATAGTCTCTGTCTTTTTCATTGAACTGTAATAAAAAGGAACAAAAGTGAGTGTTCGTAGCAGCTTATTTAGAAATCAAAGGTTACATACAAACACACCTTTTCTTGATCAAGTGTGTGTTCTGTGTGTAACCAAAACCCTATTCTGCAGATCATACAAGAAATTCTGAAGAAACTATCTCTGCACAACCAAGAAACTAAATATTAAAGGGTTTGGCTTTCTTTTTTTTTTTTTTTTTTTTTT